TTTTCTAGTTTTTAAAAAAAAAAAAAAAAAAAAAAAACTTACAACAGTCATGTTTGTGCTAAAAATGTAAACACTTTCTGGAAGAATTATTATTAATAAAAACAATGGGAAAAAATTATTAACTAAATTTTAGATTACATATGCTGTTTAGATTATTTTACATGCTTATTTATTGAAAAAATTTGTTTCTCAGGTTGTTTCACATGCTCCACCATGGCCCACCGCTCACAGAGTTCTTCATTGGGCGACAACCCCCTGGATCCCAATTACTTGCGTCCGCATTACAGAGAAGAGTATCGCATGGCTATTGATGCCCTGGTGGAGGAGGACGTTGAGGGCTATTACAACTTTTTACAAAGTGCTAATGTAGTTGACTTTTTATCAAGGTCAGAGATTGAGCATATTAAAAGCACTGTGCAATCACCACAGAGTGCTGGAAATGTACCAGAACTGCCATATCGAGAAATAGATCAGGATGCGTCTTCTGACACCTACTGGCCACTGCATTCTGACTTGGATGCACCAGGACTAGACCTTGGCTGGCCTCTGCAGCAACATAGTTTTGTGGGGCCCACAGAGGTCACAATGTTGGTAAATCCTGCTGACCCTGAGCGGCCCAGCATTAAGGAGCAGGCCCGGCAACTCATCAAAAATGCTCATCAGGTTAGTGCTTTCATATTTATAAATGACATCAGGCTGGAATCAAGAATATGAAGGGTCCACTCAGTAATCATTTTCCTCAGGAAAAACATTTTACATAAAAATGTTTAAAATTATTTACACTTAACATGAAATTAAGACTATGACCAGCCAAATACTACTCATTTAAAGGGGTCCTATTATGCTTTTACAAAGTCTTGATTTTGTTTTGGGGGTGTACTAGAACAGGCTCTCATACTAGGTTGTTCAAAAAACACATTATTTTTCAAATATTTTACATTATTACAACACCTCTCTCCCCAGTCTGGCATGAACGGCTCAAATAGTTTCTGTATCAAATGAAGGCCCGCCTTCTGAAATACGAAATGTGCTGTGATTGGTTAGCTGGGCCAGTGTGTGTTGTGATTGGCACCACTCTGTGCCTGGTCGGGAACTGTCATGCCCCCGCCTGCTAGCTTCAGTGTAAATATTGCGTCAAAATCGAATAAATTTGAGCGCGATTTATACCCGGATGATTGTAACCACTCTAAGTTCATCTGCCTCGGGAAAGCTAGCATGTCTTCGACACAGTGATAACACTTGTTGCCTTCTCTAGTGCAGCTCAACCAGGTCTCAACCAGATCTTTTTTATGCTCAAACAGCAACATTACAGACTAACTAAAGCTGAAAAAGTGAAAAAGCATAATAGGACCCCTTTAATGTCAGTAAGCCCCCTGTTATTGCTCATTAAATAAATTAATCTTAGCTGGCTGGGAATAGGGCATTTCTGCAATGGCTTCAGTAAATGAAAACATGTAAGTGAGGCTACTGTACATCAATGCTGATCATGATAATGCAAAGTCCAAGTCAAGACCACTGTGATATTGGTTACTGCAACTTAAACAAAAATTACTGATAATTTTTGTGTCATAATTGCATGTCATGTAAAATCAGATTTTTAGTCAGCATCAGTTGGTTCATCATCTAATCTTCAGTTGTTTTTTCTTTCTTACAAAAGTGTATAATTAAAGTACTATTATTGTAAATCAACTAGTTTTAATTGTCAACTCTGACGCACAGCTTGAGGTCAATCCGTATTGCTATTTTCATGTTTATTTCTTCTTTCTAACAGGTAATTGCAGTGGTAATGGATATTTTCACAGATGTTGATATATTTGCCGATCTTTTGGATGCTGCAGTACGTCATGTGCCTGTCTACATTCTGCTGGATGAACAAAATGCCCATCATTTTGTTAACATGGTGGCAAGCTGTAAAGTTAACCTGGATATGATCCATGTAAGTTCAGTTTGCCTCAACTAACCCAAGTTTTAATTTGAATTTTAAGAAAACGCAGGCTTAATGGTGACTTCACTTGTTACAGATGATGCGGGTACGGACAGTGGCAGGCATTACCTATTTCTGCCGCACAGGAAAATCATTTAAAGGTCAAGTGATGGACCGTTTTCTTCTGACAGACTGTAGAGCAGTGATCAGTGGAAACTATAGGTGAGCTCAGTGACATAAGAATTCATCTCTAATGCATGCCCACTTGAATGTGACACAGATGACACTGAACATATTTCTTTCTCTCTTTCTCCAGCTTTATGTGGTCTTTTGAGAAGATCCACCGCTGCATTGCCCATTTGTTCCTTGGAGAACTAGTTGCCACATTTGATGAAGAGTTTCGTATATTGTTTGCTCAGTCTCAGCCTCTTGTTATTGAAAATGCCCTTGTACCCATGCCACAAGACAGTACAAGTAGTTACCTTGGCAACCAGTTTGGCTTAAAAAGGACTCAGTCACTAAGGAATCCCAGAGGATATCCTCGCCAGCCTGAACTTACTGGTTACCCATTTGGGGATCGTCTTGACACCATACCAACTTTTCGGAGGGATGACCCGTTCCGCCATACACTTGAACCAAGTGCAGGTCCTATGCAGGTCACCAAATATGCAACACAGCAGTTCAGGATGCAGCAGTCATTCTTGGATCCAGGACGCTCAATGTTAGCCTCCAGGCAGCTGGAAATGAATGCCTTTAAGAGGCATAGCTACGCCGAGGGCACCCGTGAGACCTACGCCTCCTCCCGTCAGTACATGAAACAGCGTGTAATGAACAACTTGGAGGAGATGGAATCGCATTACCAGCGAGAACAACAATACTATCATAGTGAGGGCATGGGACCGGATTCTGAGCGTGGGCACTATGACCGCCTTAACCACGGCATGTACCAGACAGATCAACACTCTGATCCTGCATATCCTCCTGAACTTGAAGCACCAGGAAATCTGAATGTTTTATCCTCTGACGACCTCAAAAGTGATTCAGAAAAACATTACAACTCAGGAGGGGGACGATACGGTCCTCAAACCCACCAGAGGCCTGCTGCGGGCCATGCATATGCCTGTCAGAGTTCGCCGACTCAGACACATCCTCCAGACCACAAGCAGTTGTTCTCCACTGGAGAGCAGGTACGGCAGTCTCAAGACCCCAGTGTGAAGCAGGGATTGCGGAGCTGGAGAATCAACTCTTATCTCAGCACTTATGAAGATGTAGGAGAGGAGGGCCTGCATCAACCAATGGGTCCAGATGCTTTTGATGAGCCACATCAACAACCTGACAGCAGACTTTATAGCTCAGAGGGACCAGGCCTTCATTTAAGAGAGCGTCCGAATATCCCAACTAAGCCAAACCTTGACTTGCGGCCACGCTTTGGTAAACCCATCATACAAGATAGGAATCAAGTGAGAGATATTAGCTCTGACCTGGGTCCCACAAGTACTGACACATTAAAACCAGCCATTTCAGCTTCATCACTAGCATCTTCAACAGACAATGAGAAGGAGCCAGAACCGAGGGAACCAAGGGAAATCAGCATTACCAAGCATGAGTCGTTCCGATCTCGAATTAACCCAATGCTGCAAAGGAGCTCAAGACTAAGGTCTTCTTTAATCTTCAGCTCCTCAAAGCTGGAGCAACACAGCTCCTCGCAAGCCAAGTCTGGTGGGGAGTTACAGGAGGAAAAAGATGAGAGTGAGCCTATTCGATACTCATCTATTGTGGCAGAAATTCTGGAAAAGAGGAGATCGTGGTCAAGAGAGCCGTTTGACTGGAATAAGCATAAAAAAGCAGATGACAAAGATGTTAAAAATGAATCAACAGGAGATCTGACTACGATCAGAGACGCCAAAGAAAAGCCCATCAAAGAAAAAGAGCAACCTGAGAAACCTGACAACCCTGAACCTGAGGACAACAAAATTACACAGCCAACAGAGCCTTCGAGATCTCCGCAAACAACTTCTTCCCTAAGCATGAATGATCCAGCAAGCAGACTTCAGTACTTCAAAAATTTGGAAGAAAAGAGAAAGAGCTCAAAATTAGAGTTAGATTTGGGTACTAAAAGTCGAGAAGCAGACATGAAAAAGCCAGACCTCTCTGATACAGCAAACAAAGTTCCAAATGTGCTTGTTACTTCAGAGTTGTCCACTGTAAAGACACAAGAGCCATCAGTTACGCTAACAGATCCTGTACCACAGCGCCTGGTGATTGCAACAAAACCATCTGAAGTCTCTGTGGACAGGCCGCTCACGAACAGCAAAACAGAGAGCACAGCTGATGCATCAAAGAAAGAGCCCGCTAAGGAACCAACTAAGTCACTTCGGCCTTTCGCGTCAGCCAAGTTCTTAAAACCATTTAAAGCCTCTCAATCTTCTCATCGTCGTATCTCATGCGGTGAGGAGATTCTTACAGACGCAACAGATGCTGAAAAGAGTGAGCTTAAGAAGTCTCGCAGCTTCAGCTCATCGGGCATCACCCGTGCAGAGTCCAAAGAAAGCCTGAGCTCCCTAAACCTTGGGAACTCTGATGGCAAAGATACAAAGGCCCTTGATTTCCTCAAGAAACAAACACAGAGATTAAAGGGTTTCCTTGGGCCAAAGGGAGAAAAGAAGCACTCAGGAGTCTCCAACTCTCAAGAGGACAAGTCAATGAAAACAGTCCCTGAGGTGCAAGAGGAGCCCTCAGACAAAGAGAAACCATCTGAATCCCTATCATCTTCAACCACAGTAGAGAACAACAAACCCAATGCTAAACCGACTCCAACACGCTATCAGTCCTCTACATCAAATGTGATATTCAGCAGCAACCTCAGGGATGATACCAAGGTGATCCTAGAGCAAATCTCAGCAAATAGCCACAAGAATAGAAAGCAGAATGAAGAGTCTGGGAAAGGCGAGGGGGGCAAGGAAGAAGAAGTTTCCAATTCATCCTTCCAATTTCAAAACCGGAGCGGGGTCAGCCGAACTACAGTAAATCTACAGGAGAGGGACAATCTGCTGAAGAGAATAGAGAGTATGCGCAAAGAAAAGAAGGTCTACAGTCGTTTCGAGGTACTTTATCGTAACCGAGAAGAGTGTTGCTTGGACCAGGGAAGTGTAGAGAAGGCAGAGCAAAGTTTGATTAGATCAATCACATGAGATCCTTGTACAATATATGTAGTGAACTTATATCTGCTTATATTGGTAACACTTTACAATTAGGTTACATTAGTTAATGTTAGTTAATGTATTAACTAACATGAACAAACAATAAAGAATGCATTATTACAGTATTTATTCATCTGTTAGTTAATGAAGATACAGTTGTTCATTGTTAGTTCAAGTTAATTCACAGTGCATTGATTAATGTTAACAAGCCCAACATTTGATTTTAATAATGCATTAGTAAATGTTGAAGTTAACATTAACTAAGATTAATAAATGCTGTAGAAGTATTGTTCATGCTTAGTTCATGTTAACTAAACTAGTTAACTAATGTTAATTAATTATAATGTGTTACCTTTATATCTTATAAATGAAGCATATCAATTCTGAGCAAAGCGTTTAATGTCCAAGTATATTTATTGACAAATTATATTTTTCCTTTTACATGTTTATTTATTATTTGACTTTACGTTCTTTATATGCCATGACATTTAAGTATCAGTTTGTTTGTAGCCTCCAATCTGTTAAATTTTAATTTATGTTAGAAATAAATTAAATAGACTATCACAGAATCTCCTGTACAATTTGTGGGTTGATGGATGAGAGAATAGTAGGATGTTTCACTCACGTATCTGTCACTCTACTTCAACAGATGGGGAATAACTTGGGATAACAAAATATGGATGAAGGCGGCCAATGTTCCTCACAGAGAACTGTAAAGAGAACCTGAAACCATACAAAAAAATATTGTACCAAACATCCCCAATACTCCTGTGAACAGACAAAGAGAAGCAAGTAAGTTGCTTCACATAAAAGCGTCTACTAAAAGACTAGTAATCTACATGGTACATGGATCTCATATAAACAGACCACGAAAATAGCTCAACCTCAAATATGAGGATTCATGCTGCAGCAGGATGAATATTCCTTGCTCTGTGCCAATCTGAGCCCACAGATGATTCACTTTGCCCTTATAAGGCATTAGGGCATACCTCATAACAGTAATCATTCACCATCCCTGCAAAACATAGAAACACAAATCAGGCCAAAGGAGGGTTCAAACTTCAAGAGGATTTTCTCAGCTTTTCCTTTTTCTTCCTTACCTTATAGTTATATATGATGTGTATGTACAAGTGCACACAATTTCCAACTTCCAAAGGAAATTAACATGTCTGGGCAGAAGCTGAGATATGCTACTCTGAAGGCACCAAAACACACCCTCTTTAAAGTACACCACACAAACGCCCCAGGACATGTCAATGCTGAAATTATGCTTTGGTGGTGACCGTGCCAGTGGATCACAGGCATAAAAGAAACCAGAGATGGTTGGTAGACAACGCTTGTACTTTTGAAGGCAAAGAACACAGAAACTATGGAACCTGAAACTGTCAAGAGATGATTGGAAAATATGTATGGGATGTCTGAAAATGAAAGGAGGCCTGTTCATTAATTTTTCTCCTCTATCAACATTGTGCTATCAAGAAAGTGGATTGAAAGCTGAGAAAGTGATGTGAGGGGTAGAGTTTGAATTAATTTTATTTAATTGGCAATCAGAACTTGCAGTATAATGGTTTCAGATATACTACACATATACATTCCTGCATGAACTGTTGTCAGGAGAAACTGTAAAATATTAGATTGATAAAGAAATTCTCAGGACTGGGCATTAGCCTTCATTTTGTCAATGCAAAATTTAAGACAGAACGGTATTACTGAACACCAAAGATTTCCCAGAGTGCCCTGCTGGATGTGTCATAGGACTGATTTATGGAAACTGGAAGCTGATCTAATGAGGAATAACTGATTTAGAAGTATGATGGAATTAAACTTTGATAGAGTGTCATCAGTTTGTTTTTATTTTTATTAATGCAAATTTTGGGGAATTTAGACAATTTTTTATTGTGTCTTATAAATTCTAAATAAATGGTTTAGAAACTTATATTCTAGGTACAGGATGATTTTATTAACAGTATTTGTTCACAAGTATTTGTTGACAAAACAGTTGGTAACAAGTTAAATTAGAACAATGGAACAGAATGGAAAAGAATATAGGCTATACGCCGCTTCTTTGTAATATTCATATTTGTTGGAAGGAATTAGATACTCAGCTCAAGTTTGCAAAATCTGTTTGAGATATTCATGATGCATTTTCACAAGTGTCCATGCGCATCTCTGCATTCTGGGTGTAGCTTAACCCGTCCAGAAGCTTGGTCAACTGCTCCAGCTTCTGTTGTTCTGTAGGGATGGACACAAACACACAGGAAAATATCAGATTACTCTGAGGATGATGTTGGTCTCTTGTTTAAGGGCTGTCAGTCCAATGTTACGAGCTCAGTTCTAGGTCCATAAACACTTGGGTATGAGGTTACATTCCTGTGCAATCCCATCATTGCAAGTACTCTAGCCTTAGAATGTTTAAAATTGGCTAAATTCAGAATAGCGTATTACACTTAATATGTCTACCATAACTTTATTCAGTAGAGTAGTAATGCTAATATGCTATTCCGAATTCAGTGACTGCCTTGTTGACTGGCCAAATAAGTCATTTTGGAAAAATGACTGGACTAATTAGACTTCTACGTCTCAATGAATCCAGAACGCATCAAATTTCACACTAAGCACACATCTACACACTGGTCGTATTGGAGAGGACCATAAAAACTAAGCAATGGAACAAAATTTATATTAAAACGTACCAGCCTTCAGCAGATGCTCAGTGGTGTACTCTGCAGACTGTATTTCTGCTGGAAGTCTTTGTGGAGTCTGGAGAAAGAAAACAAAAACAAAACAAAACATAAGACATAAATGCTATTATCAAATGCTATTGTTCTAAGCCGTTTCTATTTTACAGTTACAAATAAAGAAAGCTCAGTTGCTTTTAGTTTAATATCCATTCTCATAGGTCACTTACAAAGACATTGGACAGGTTTTTATGCTGCTCCATTAATTGCTGAAGCTGACTCTCAAACCTCATCCTAAAATGAAATTAGATTAGTTAAAATGCGTTAGAATTTCAAAAGAAGTCTCTCTTAGCAATAAAATATGTTCTCATATTTTAGAATTGTCAGTTATTCCTGATACCATCAGTAATGGCTTGTGCTGCTGAACTAGTAGGTTTTGGCATTTCAGTTTGAATGTGGGCATTTCAATAAATGTTCCTCCGATACATGGAATGCAATTCTAAGAAATGACACAGCATCTCATGTCTATTTCTAATATCTAAAGAGACAACTATTAAACTATTTCCCTTCGCTGTTAAAAACAGTAAGTCATACCGAGTCTTTCTGTGCTTTAGTTTGGTCTCCTGGATCTGAAGGCAATACTGCTTTACTGCTTCCTCTTTCTGATGGTTCTGCTCAAGCTGCCTACAGAGTTACAAGTTAGATCATAAATCAAATAAAATGATGCCATCTAGTACGTCTCACAAACATTTCTGTTAACATTAAGTAATAAAAATGACAAAATGCTGCTCTCAACGTCATCCTATTTCAATATGATTTGTGTAAGGTATCAAGTGAATACACACCCTTTTACAAGACTCACTGATCTGAGAACAAAGTTCAGTGTTTTGGTGACTCGTTGTGATTCACACGTGAGCAGCTTCCATGTGAAGTGCAGTAGTTCAGTGTCTAAATACTCATGAGTGTTGTATGGATATCCATTTATGCTTACCTTTGTGCCTCCAGCTGGAGGTCCTCACATTTGAGCTGCAGAGATCTGTTTAACTCTTTATGACAAGATTATGTGTGTTAACACTGTAAATATATCTGATAACAAAGCTTACATGTAATTTATGGGCTCATTGTTTGGTTTAGACTAGAGTACCTTCCTTTTCATTCAGGGTCCCCTCCAACTGTAGGGCTTCAGCAGTTACTGCAACAAAAAAGTACACTCATCTTTCCCGTATTACTCTCATTGGTAGTTGATACTGTGTGAATCATACATTTGAGGTTAATGTGAGTATATACATACATGCATCTTCCTCCTCCTTCCTAGCACATCTGAGGAGCATAGTTTCCTTAACTTCATCTTCAAGGTTTTTCTTGGCTGAAATCAATATATGGGTGTTTAATTTTTGCTTTATAAAATGTGTTGATTTACACTCGGATTGACTGACTGGCTGATTAACAGTCTAATTGACCTTGTTGCAGCTTCCTGAGTTTGATTAACAGCTCCGCTGGTTTCGGTTCTGCCCGCCTACCTATAAAAAGACCAATTGTTTTGTAAGAAATACAAAGGCATTAAATCCCATTGAGTGGACAGAGATAAAAGATCTGGTTTATGGGTTAGGCCCTCACCATGTAATGAGACAAATTGTGAAAAGTGACAGACTCGTCGGTTTAGTAGGATTGTTTTTTATTTACTTATATTATTTAAAATTGACTTAGATGTAATAAAAATAATGAATATATTAGCTCGTTAATGAGTCATGTCATACCTGGGCTTTCTGGAGTCTTTATAATATCTTCAATGTTGAATGATGACTCTGTACAAAACAATAATTAGCAAGCTGCAGTACTCGAAAATCAAACTCAACCTGCTTAACGTTAGCTGACTAGCCAACACATCTACACAATAACAACCCACCAAGTATCACACTCATTACGACGCCAGTTGATAAACTTTTAAAATATATATATGTATATAAATATATATAAATGTGTGAGGTAAATATATTGAGGGGAATGTGAACGGCTCTTTAGAGGTCAGTTGGCAGGTCTTCCTCGGCTCGCGCATCTGTCTTTTGAACAAACTCTTCTCGTAAAAGCCCGCTTTATTTAAATGTATGTGTAATATAAATTATTGTGTGATAAATTAAGTTTATTCTTTTAAAAATAAATAAATATTGATTAAGCAATAATTATAGAATTTACTTCACTCTAGTCTCACTCTACAGTTCACGTAACTTTAGTTGGTTGTAAATTGGTCATTTGGCGCGATCACCTGGTAAAACATGGTACTGCAAAAAAATAATAAACCGTGGAAAATGGTACTTTTCTTGCATTCTTTTATTACAAGCTTTGCATAAAAGCTGCACTAAACACTCACCACTGCAGCCTTTTCCAGTATAGTAAATACATATTTGGCCTACAAAATGTCTAGTACATTATCACACCATTCAGATTATAGGTTTGTGAAAATAATTTTATTAAAGAAATAGGAATTTACAATTAAAACAGTTGCAACACAAATATTAAAACTTGTGATAACATGAACTTTAAATTCAATTCTTATAGTCGTGACAAAAATGAAGAAATACTGTCAAAATGTTCCTGTCTGATTCTAAAAATAATTACACTTCGTCTAACAACAATACTAACTTATCCATTATAAAGTGAAAAAAAATTAACAAAACAACAATGGTAATGTGTGTTGCTTGTTGAGGACAAAAGCATTGTGTTCGATTAAACAGAACTGAACAGTCAACACTGTTGAATGTCTCCCTAAATGAATTACTACAACTTGAACACATTTTGAAGAATATTAATTGCCAATAACACTGACATTTCTAAAAGAAAAAAAAAAACTAAATGTGACGCTTGTAGTTTCAAATCAGATGGACATTGTTTGTGGATTCTAAAGCATACATTTGAACCAACACACATTTCACATGTATAATCAAAACAACAGCCATTTAGCTTATGAATGCATAAACATTTTTTTCTTTAAATCTGAAAGGAATCTTTCTTGTAAAATCAGTAATATATGCATGTCTGTTTGTATCTCTGGTTGACCTCAGTTGTGAGAGTAGACCTATATCAGAAAGATCTGTTGTTCAATACTAATTCAAAGTTAATGTTACTGATTGCAAGTTAACAGGTATATATATATATATATATATATATATATATATATATATATATATATATATATATATATATATAAATGGCACACAAACTTGCAACTGAAATTGTGAAACTTGGTGGCATTGATTTGTTCTATGTTTTTGTCTTATCTTTTCCTCATGTATTTGAGGTATCACTGTATGTAACCCTTAGATCTTAAGGCTTGGAGACAGTTCTCCCGAGATGCAGACAGAATGTGATTTGGCTGGTGGTAGCGTTCTTCTCTGCAGAGGAAGAGATATGAGAGAGAGAGACAGAGAGGAAAGAGAGAGACCGGGTTTCTGATACATGCTCATTTTCAGAATGTCACCCATTATCAGTGCCGAGAAGTGCGACTGTGCCGTGTCAACACACCCTGTTGCCACGGCAACACGCCTTCGCACTAATGTGCCAAACACCATCAGAGCCAGGGTGCCATCTTTGTGGGTCCCCGTGCCTGTGTTTGTCAAACCTTGTTAGCCTACAACACGTACAAATATCCACACGCGAGCGCACCGCCGTGTCAATTGTCATCCTACATATTGGTGCACCCATACTCTGGCACAGCGTCCCAACAGGTTCTTATGGTGAGGTTTCCCTGGCAACTGTTGCTGCTGCAACAGTCCCCATCACAGCGTTCAGGTCGCAGATGCAAATGTGAGGACGGAGCCAGTATAGGACGCCATTTACAAGGATGTAACCGTTGACATCCGTGTTCTTAAATCGGCCCCTTCTCAAAAACTCGCCCTCCTTAGTTACTGTTGCTATGGTTGACAATCCATGCCTCTTTCACACTACACATCATGTTCTTATGCAGTGAAAAATACATTGCGGAGCAAAGAGGAAACTGACAACATGCCAACAGACAAGACAGAGCAGGTTACTTTAGGCATGAAAGTCTCAGCTTTCTAATTTTTTAACCGGAATTCACACAATAAATACTGTTTTGTGGCTTTTTATGTGTCGTGACAGATCACTGTAGCGCCTCAGTTCAAGCGGCATGTGAACCCATCATCGCTTCCTCTTTACTAGTTATAGCATGAAATAAACATGAACGAACATCAGAAGGTATTTTATTTAAACCGCGGAAAGATGTCAATACACAGCATTTTTCAAATATAAGTCCACGGAAGTTAATCTATTCTGCTGTCTTGTTTGTTTGTCAGACAAAATGAGATTGAAGTCTCTGCAGAGCAAAAGAGGGCGTTTCTGAATTTCTGGGTGTTTTCAAACCGCAGGATGTTTCTAAATCATGCAATCAAAATGATCCCCCTT